CTATCAAAATATGTTTTAATGTCACCTGGGTTTAACACGCTTATTCATTTGCTAAACAAAAAAATATCTGGCAAGGGATGGGGAAGGAGCCATGTTCCCCAGACACCGGAAGCAGAGAGGTAACACTTGGCCCTGCCTTCTGGAAAGAGCTATCTTGCCTAACTCCAGGGCCTCATTCAAACTGTATCTTGTGTGAATGTTGCCCCCTGGAGGTGTGCAGTTTGACTTCAAGGGTCTGGGTAAACAGCCAGTGCCATGGGATATGCAGTCAATGACAAAGAGAAGAACAAAGTGGGAACACAGGGAGGGAGTGATGAGTTCTGCCCAGACTAAAGACTCTTAAGGAGAATTTAAAATTCTCTCGTCTTCAAAAGCATTTTCTTTTATGGATCTGTGGAAGCAATGAAGTGAGGATGTGCAAATTCCTCTAAGGGAAAACATTTCTTTCCCATTTCGGACAACAGAGGTGTTTTAAAAACTTTGTTCTGAGGCTTACGCAGAGGTTGCTGTCCCTTTAGCACACTTTGTCATCCCCCAAACTGTGCTTTTAGACCAATTCTTGCAAGTTAGAGGAGCTGGATCGTTCTACCAAGAGTTTAGATTTCACTTGAACCGGTGTTTGTGTGTTCATACGCACAATCAGACACATTTCCAGGGACAGGGGAAAGAACTGGTGAAATGGAATAATAAAAAAATTTCAGTTGATAGGGGGATGGTTGGTAGGAAAGTTCTGAGGGAGTCTCTTAGCTTTCCCCAGAATCATAGGGTAGGTAAACGGAGTCTCCTTTCCTGTCACTGCTGCACATTATCATGTCATGGCGGCCAGGAGAGAAAAGCTGTGTCACAGAAAGAGTGAGGGTCTAGCAGTCCTAGGAGGATCCTGGGAAGTAATTTACCGAAAAGGACAGTAGGGTCTTCGCCACAGGGAAGAGCTTTAGGATAAGGATTATCACGTGTGATGTTATGACGGAGACTCCCTCAGGTATCACCGAGGCCTAGAACAGCTGAACCGCTTCTGATTAAACAGGGCCTCCTGTCACGAGGGGTCCATATCTGTCTTTGTTCTTAGTTGGTTGGCAAAACCTTCAGCCTTGAAGTGTAAAGCCAGCAAGCCAGTGTTGGCCCGGCTTCCTTCCTTTGTTGGGAGTGGAAAGTACCGTGGAAACACGATGCATTCACTCCGGTTGGAGAGGGCCAGATGACGACTGCCTGAGGCCACACGAAAGGCACCTGGATACCGCGTGACCACCAGGGAAGGCCACCGCAGGGAACGCGTTCCCATTACTTGCTTCTCCCAACAGGGGAGCGTCTACAGCTTCTCCTGTTTGCAGAGGGCTTGCCAAACATGTCTGCAAAGTATGCTCGAGTGTGTGGCGAACGTTTTTGCTAAGGAAACCGCCATTCATGGGCTCCATGCTCCACAATTAGCTGCCTGTCTTCATCTGTCTCACTCCTTTTGTCTACAGACTGAACTGTGGACCTGTGCAGTCACTCACGGTGACAAGAGCCACACACGGACTCTCGCCGGCCCCCTCCTCCAGCGAGCGGCAGCCAGGGAGGCCTGGGCAACAAAGACTCGGCTAACCCAGGCCTTTGAAGGCCTGAGGGAGCCGCAGCGGCTCTCTCCATGCCGGGGGCACCAAAGCCCGAGGCTTAGCAGCAAACAGAGGCTGAGTCGCCTAGCCAACTGCATGGATTTTCATTTTCTAGGGCTGAGGGTATTCTCCTCACTGGCACTTGCTCGCAGCACCATTTTGCAGCCGGAAAAGACAACACAGCCCAGATGGGTGCTTATCCTGCCTGGGTGTTTAGAGCGGCCGGGTGCGAGAGGCTTGTCCCAGTGTGAGTCTTAGCTTGTCAAGAGCTTTGTCACATCACAGTGGACACCTATCAACTTGTCATTTCTTCAGCTGCTTCCCCTGAACGTGAAGTTGAACCAAATGAAATCTCACTTTTTGTGGGTCAGGAAAGATGGCCTCAAGAAAGAGCAGCTTTATGTGGTTCATCTCAATGGAAAGGATCAATAAGGATCAGCGTCCATGAAGTGGCTTCTGTGTCCCAGGCCCTATGGGGGCACTTGACCTGTGCTTCCTGTCTCAGTTTTTGTTCATGATATTATGTCAAAGTGCTAGTATTATCCCCATTTAACAGATGAGATGATGGAGTTTCCTAGAGGTTAAAAAAAGAATGCCCACAGGCTTAGTAGTGGGAAGACATGAAAAAGGAACCCATGTTTGTTTGTCTCAAAGGCCTAAATACTTTCACTCTGTCAAGTGAAGATTTTTTTTATAGTCACTAGTAAGCCACACAGGTAGTTCATGTGAACTCAAAAGAAATAACTGAAACAATTTTCATAAGAAAATGACCGAGTCACTTATTCTGTCACTACCCCACCAAATGACCTCTGGTGACTCTGCTTACGGTCACGTACAAATTCATTCAGGTCCTCAAAATTCTGCTAGTTTCCCTTTCTGGCTTTATCCCTTCTTGCTTTCCTTGTGCTCCATCTTCCTAGGTCACATCTTAGATCGTCTCACATAACGTGGCAGCCACTTGTCCATGCTGCATTTTCTAACTGAAATCATCTAGCCAGTCTGTAGGATCAGCTGCAGAAATTGTACCCATTCTTTGAGACCTGCTCTGAATGTCTGCTGGTCCATGACTTTCCCGTGTTGAGAACGCCTCTTCCTCCAAACTTCCATAGCCCCTTGAAGGCCTGTCCTAGTACTTACGCCTTCTGTTCTGACTGGTGCTATGGCTGTTTGGACATTTGCCCATCCTCCCCCCAGAGTAGGGGCTGGGGCAAACTCATCCTGTAAAGGGTCAGAGAGCAAATACTGGGGGCATTGAAACTCATCCTGTAAAGGGTCAGAGAGCAAATACTGGGGGCATTGAAGGCCATAATGTATTTGCTACAACTACTCTGCAGTTGATTTATGAAAGCAGCCACAGATAAGACAAAAACGAATGAATGTGGCTGTATGTCAATAAAGTTTTATTAACAAAAGCTGGCGGCAAGCTGGATTTGGCCCCAGGGGGCCCATGCCTGTCTTTGCTCCCTGGTTTCTGGTTGTGAGCAACTGTGTCTTCCTCGTGCCTATATCCCAGCTGTACTGGAGAGCACCACTCATAAATATTTGTGGAATCAAATATAATTTGTAATTGCTGGGCTCGGAGATGCTGTGGTTCAGTGATGATGAAGGCCCAGGGAAATGTGCAGATTCCTCTCCTCCTACAATTGTCTGTGCATGCCATTGGCTCTCAGAACCTTTTGACCTGCGGCTGATTTTTCTGTAGGCTCAAGACCTTGCCCAGAAGCTTCAAAGCAGGCTGACTTCTAAGAAGCCATAAAACACCACATTTTGTCAATGCCTTCTCCTCAACCTCACGAAAACACCGGTAAGGGTTACAGTTGTAGCAAGCCTCCTTAGGCTGAGCATCTGCCAGTGTAACAAGAAAACCGACACAGAGTAATTTTCTGATTCAAAAAGGAAAGAGAAAGGTGGGTCCCAGGGCTGGGAAGAAAACTACAAAGACCTTTCTCTTTCACTGAACCAGCAGGTTGCCCATCTGTAAGTGATCTGGAATGGAGAGCCCCTCGCCATTTGTGGGCTTTGCTCATGAATTTTGTTGCATGGTTATATGTAGGTAGACCTTCTAGAGGTTTGTATATCCATCCACAGCGTTCTTTCCGAAACACAGCGGCTCACCCAGACCACATTCCCCAGGCGCTGGGGGAACCTGCTTTCTTTGTTGACAATAGTTCATGTTGAGATGCTTCCATCCTTCCATCCTGACTGGGCATGTTCAGCAGGGGGTCTGTCCTGGTTTTATATTTACTGTTAGTTCCTGTCCTCAGTCAGCTCTGACCTCCTTCCTTCTTTCTAAATCACTTGATATGGCAGAGACGACCTGAATACCACTGGCCCAAAGCCATGAGTTTACTAGTTATAAGATAAAAAAAAAATAAGCATATAAGGGAAGATTCTTCAGGGATATATAATGACCAGCAATAACAGTGCCTTCGGTATGTCCCTCTTTCCAAAAATACATTTACTCAATTTTCTTTCTGTCTAGGATTGCGGCTGGGAAATCAGTATGGGTGAGAAGAGATGCTACTTCAGCATAAACAGAGCAAGAACCAATTTTGGAGGTTTAGTGTTGAAGGAAACATACCAGTTCCCTGGTCCCTACTTTCCTGATGGCGGATCCTTCCGTAGACACAGAGCCAAGCGCTCTGTCGGGAAGGCTGCACGTTATTGCAACGGACGGGAAGGAAGCGGGTCAAGGGAGTAAAAAACAAAATCACATTCTTTGCTGCCAAAGCATCCGGACTTTTTCATTCTTGGCTAGGGGGAGTTACCAGCCTAACAGGGCTCTCTGCCTCGCTCCCTCCACACCCCAAACCCTCTTCTGGGCCTCCCCTCCCCTCCTTACCAGAGCTCCTGCCTCTCAAAAGGAAACATCAGGTTATTTTAAAGCAGTGACCTGAGAAGGCCTCTCGGGCAAGCCTGCGCAAGCTGCTTTCTGCAGGAGTCCTAACTGCACATCTGCAGCAAAGCGACCCCCGTATTCTCCTGGAAGACAGACCCGTGTTTCTACCACCAGAGACCAGGGGGCGCCACTCTGCCGCTACAAGAAGCATACCCTTGGATGGTTATTTTTATGAGATCATGCTCAGGGATATTATTTAAGACAACCGAAGGGAACGCCTGATACCAATTTCCCCCATTCACCGTAAGTGCTTCTCTTCCTTTCCATTTAGCTACTTAACAAAGATTGGACATACTGTGACTCCTATCATGCCATGAGACCTGGTCCTTATGCCGGGCCCCGTGGCCAGCCTGCCCCGTGGTCTCTTGGCAGGAACTGGTTGATGTTCTTGCCTCGGGAGACGGGGCAAGGAAGGAAATGGGGTGAGGGAGAGATGGGAGGTGGGGGGTGGGGAGCAAAGAAAAGGCCCGTGTTCAGCAGGTCCCAGAACTGATGTTATTACTCACATGTGTTGGGAAGCATTGGGGTACAGTTTTGAAAACTGTGGGGCTGAGTCCTCGGGGCCGTGGGGCGCAGCGTGGCTGATCACCATCATAATGGGCCTATGGGGATACATTCTCTTAGACATTTTGAAGTAATTAATGCTCTCGTTAGTGATTAAGTCTGTGAAGTAGTCCTGAAACATACATTTGACACAAAACAAAAATTACAAAAGGTGACATTCATCAGACGGCATTTGCATACTGCTTTCTTCAGAAGCGTCTCGCTCAATGAAGGCATGAGGCCTGAAGCGGGAAGGAAGGTGATAACTTCCCAAAGCGGCAAAACATCTTCCCAAAGGGACGAAATCAGTTGCCAGTTACTTTCTAGGGTGACTAGCTTGGTAACACGCAAAAATTTTATTTTAAGTAAGGGCACGACTTAGCAATTAGGAAAGAAAAAGAGTCCAGTCAGTCCTGTTTGCCCAAGATAATGATCAGATCTGGCAATCCAAACACTAGAGCCCATGAAACACCGGATACATATTTCATTCTCAGATTTCATTGATGTAATTCTTTGACAAAAAATTTAATTACTTCAAGGGCAGGAAACACCCACGCCCACTACAAATTCACAGTTGCAGAACACGCCCACCCACACACACACGCGCACGCGTGCACATGCACAAACAAAAGGAAAGGTCTTTTCTTTAAATTCAAAATTCACCTGTGGGAATTATACAGTAATTGCTAAATGAAAGCCAGAGCTCAAATCTGGGTGCACAGGGAAAAGCTGCAGTATTTTATCAATTAATTCACTTGAACCAGTAAATATGGGGAGCATTTGATTTCCTGCAGACTATACTGTTAATTGCACAACTAAAATGATACAGCTGCTGAGATTTGAGCCTGACCGGCTAATAAAATGACTTGAGCTGCCATCCGAGGGACTGATGCAACTCCGTAAGGGGGAAGGAAGAAATGGAATGAAAAGGAACGATGAAAACTTAAACCACCTGCTTCCTCTAAGTGGGTACTGCTGGCCTGGAGCTCCACTGCAAAGTTTATTCAGAAAGTGCCCAGACAGCATTCAGTGTCAGAGGCTCCCAGGCATGACTAATCACATGTAGATTCAAGGACCAGCACAGCTGCCAAAGCCATGCCCAAGGGAGGAAATCTGTGTCACATGTCATTGTGAGGACAACTCCACAGGCCATCACCTTCTTCCATGGGAGTGTCTGTTTCATTCCTTTTTCTCACTAAAAAAAAAAAAGCCATATATTCTTTTCGGACACAGTTGTCTTTGACACTTAATCAGCTGTGATAATGGGAAAGTTACGCTAATTTTAGTCTTTGGGGGGAATCTTGATTACTTTGCTCTCCTTAGGACAACAGGGAAAGAAAGGTTAATAGCTTGAACAAGGAGCATGAAAGCATCCCTACAGATAAAAAATGATGGCAGTGACAATTAGCGCACTTTGTAGGACATTGCTCAAATCTGCCTCCAAGGTCCCCGCCAGCTCTCCACTTGGATGAGTCAGTCTGGAGTCTTATTAGCAATGTTTGTGAATTCATTTGCATTCATTGTTTTCTGAAGGGGACGGAAGAGCCAGACTTACACCTTATCTCCTACCAAGTTCCTCCAGCTCAAATCAGGCCAAGCATAAAGCCAGCACCGTGCCAAAATTAAATCAAGCTCCTTCTCTCCGATTTCCACCAATGGCTCTTTCGTAGTGATCTACGCTACATAGAGCAGATTGCCGGCTTCTTTTAGAAAAGTGAGGAAGAGCTGGGCATGGCTAGAAGAGAAGAGGATATTTTAGGCTAATTAGTGGGCTAAATTCGAAGATATTTTCCCCTTCACTCTTGTCATCTGAAAATTGTTTTATTTTTGGTTGGCAATCACAAAACCTTTGTGAATTTTAAAAAGTCTAATCTGGGATGCATTTGTCAGAGACACGGAGGGACGTGTCGATTTCAGTTTCTGTGAACAGATTTGGAAATCTGAGGGTTGATGGCCCCAGAGAATGCTGTGGACTCTGGCTGCCATGGGGCAGGTGTCCTTGTCACATATCAATGCTTGGTCAGACAGGAGGAAAAGCAAAGAATGTGGTTTCCTGACCTTCGATTATTGTGCTTGTCTGTTCTAAACCTGAAGCCACAGATGAAATGCACTTTCACGCCAGTGAAAAGCAAAATGGTACAAGAAGAACACTGGATTATGTGGACAAATCCTCTAGGGAGCAGAAAAATAAAACAATATCACGAGACCGAGTGGAGGCGTCTATGATTTTCTTGATGATACTTCATCAAAGGCTGATTGCCTTTCATCCTAATGAGGGAAAAAAGAATCACTATTCAAAGTCAGTGTTCCTTGAAAGTCTTTTTCTTGCCTGGAGTTTAAAATTACCTTAAAATTTCTCATTCTAACATTGTGAGAACATAGAAAGCCAATCTCGCGGATAAGTTAACTCACTGAAAATGGCTTTTCCCCATTATGCACAAAGTAAATTGATGCAGTGTAAAAGTGCCTGAAAATTACCTTTGCATAATCAAATCCATGCTTTTCTTTGATGCCATTGCGACAAACAGTGTAATTATAGAAACGAGAATTCTTGATTAATCCAAGCCATTCTCGCCACCCAGGAGGGATGTAGCTGCCATTATATTCATTGAGGTATTTTCCAAAAAAGGCTGCAAAGGGGGAAAAAAAAGAATTATTTTCTCATATGAAATGATTAATCACAAATAAATGCATAAATGCATAAGTATGAAATTAGGATTTGAAAAAGGGGAGTAAAACCAAAGTAAACCTTGCTAACAGCGAATGCCGAAATAGTAGTGTAATACTCTGATTCTTTGGCAAAGTGACAGACGTACATTTCCCTTTTGAATAAAAAAGCATAGCGCCCACATACACAGATTATAGTGCAATAAAATCACCATAATGATCATGGTACTCAGGGTGCATCCATATCTTGTGGGTCTGCTGGGATGAAAGCAGAATGTATCCTTTTGTTAAGTTGATGTAACAGTCAGAGAAGTAGCCAGTGGCAATGTGGAGTGCTGTCTCTGGGCAAATACTGGGGGACTGAAAATTCAGTCTTGGTGAGAAAATAAGTTTTCTAACTTACTATTTGTGAGTTAAAAATTATGAAAACAGTATAGAAAAGCTTGTCTTTGGGTTTGCATATCCAGAGTACAAATTTTCCAAGTCAAGGAACCACGGTAAACTCCATTTCTTAGGCACATGGTGAGGGTTTCTATGCCATACCCATTTTATGGCATTGGTGTTCACATTATGTGTCTTTTATGAACGTGTATGTCTATTCTTGATAATGAAGGATTCTGCTGACACAGAATTACTGCACAGATGACTAACTTTCATAGAATCATAGTCGCACAGAAGTATGTGGGACACTGACACTCTACTGCTCATTGACGAGGCCCCTGGGTGGACTTCACATTTCTAACTTTGGCATGTCACTCCCAAGGAAGGCCACCGGGCAACAGAACTTACGATCCTGTCAGAGGGAAACTTTGGATTTGGATGTGGTCCTCTGCCACAGTTGATGAAAGGAGAGGGGCAAAGAGGAGAGAATAAGTAGGGCAGGTTGGGGTTTTGGGAACAAAATGTGTTAGATCTTGAAGTCAAATGCCTTATAACTATCAGAAGGGGAGCCAAAAATGAAAGAGGGTATCATTACTTTTTTTCCTTTCTTTTCGTTCTTTCTTTCTTTCTTTCTTTCTTTCTTTTTTTTTTTTTTTAATATGTTCACTTACTCTAATCACACTGCGTACACCACGTTATCACCACGGAACGTAAATTCAGGTTAGACAAGAGAGCTTCACAAGTGCAGGAAAGCATTCTGGAGTATACCCAAGGTTGTGGGTAAGGTCTGACCAAATCACCTTGCTGAAAAGTCATTAGCTACTTCGATTATAGGTAATGTGTCGACATTTAGGATTCTTACAGAGAAAATACACTGCATACGTTTAAGAAGTATTTCTCCTTTACCCTTGCCTTAGTACTTAAAATCCACATTTCTATTTCAAGATGACATTCAAAAATTACTCTAATACCGCAGCAGCGTAGCTCGAACTCGGCAATTGCAGAAAAACCAAACTGGGATCCATTGTTAAAGTATTCTCATGTTTACATGCATGATCCTGAGATAAAGCCTACTTCCAAGCAGCTGTGACCGGTTTTTTAAGGTTTGGTGTAAACACACACACATTTCCATTTGTGGGGAAAGCAGAGACTGTTATAGCCCATACGCTGTTCTGAAAGGGTTCTTTAAGAACCAACCAGCCCTTAAAACTGCAGGACCCAATCAGTCCGTAAGACAAGGAGGGTACTATTCCGAATAGTTGTAATTCCACCAAGAAGGTAGGCATTAACAAGCCCTGTTCTGGGTAACCTACATGTTTGGTCACTGTAGTAGCCATAAACATAGCCTTCCCCTTAAGTAAGAAGGAGTAGAGAAATTTTTATATATGGATATAGAGGGGTGTGTGTGTGTGTTATGTACACACACGCTTAGACCTGCGCATACGTGCGTATGTAATACACACATGCAGGCAAGCTTTAATTTTTCTGATTTTTAATCAAGGCCGCCATCTTTCATTTTAGGGAGAAACTCTGGCTAGCCAGATGCCTTCCGTGTCAAAGCCACTGTGCATCTTCACTAAGCAGGCTTCAGGCGCCTCCACTTACACACATGAAGTAAGGTAGTTCCTGGATGACGAGCCTGGGAAGATGAAAACAGATCCCTGAATCAGGCAGTTTACTGGTATCGCTTTTCAAGCACGCCTTTCTGAATCTCAGTCTCGCCCACGGCACGTCATATCTGTGTGTTGATGGGCTAGCTAGCTCGCTTTCATCCTGATACACAGCTACCTGTAGGATACCCGCAGCTGAATGTTTTCCTTACTCTTCATAGAATTGTCCAGAATGGAATGAATTCTTTTCCCTTCCCGGTTTACTTCTCTCCTCAGATACCCTTTTCTTCTCTGAGAGTCATAATCGTCTTCCTGGTTGATCAGACACGGCACCCCAGGGCCTTCCCCGGTTCACCTGCTCCTTTGGTCCCGTTGCTACGCGGAAGCCACCACCTGAAGGTTCTATGTGGATAATAGCTCTTGAACCTGCCCCTCTTTCTCCAATGACTCGACACCCCTCATGAATACTCTCAGTCTCCTGCCAGCTCCCCTAGCCAGCCTTCCGGACCTTTCTACTCTTAATACCACCTTCCTGAAGACCGACTCTGGGGACATCACCCATTGTCTCAATCGTGGATGGACCCCCCCCTCAAGTTTCACTTGATAGAATCAAGTTTCATTTGATAGCATGCCATGCAAGGACAAAATCCCTTGCTTTCTTTCTTTTTTTTTTTTTTTAAAGATTTTATTTATTTATTTGACAGACAGAGATCACAAGTAGGCAGAGAGGCAGGCAGAGAGAGAGGAGGAAGCAGGCTCCCCACCGAGTAGAGAGCCCGATGCGGGGCTCGATCCCGGGACCCTGGGATCATGACCTGAGCCGAAGGCAGAGGCTTTAACCCACTGAGCCACTCAGGCGCCCCATACAAAATCCCTTTCTTTCATTTCCAACCCCAGCCCACATTTCTTGGTTATCTGTCCCTCTCTCTGAAGAAGGCATTTTCTCTGTTAGCTCTGGTTTTCACCTCTCTGCCTTTGCCGGTGCTAGTTCCCTCATCTCCCCGCCATGTATCAGGGCTAGACCAGGTGACATTCTAATCCCAGTCTTTGCCCAATCCCCACAGCGATTTGTCTCTGTGGCTCGAAGGCCATCTTCCCTTCCCTCCATGTGCTACAGTCATGCTCGTATGTAAGGTAATCCCCCTTAGCCTGTAGGGCTTTAAGGGCGAACACTGTCTTTGCCTCATCTCTGTACTCTCCCAGCTCCTCATCCTTTCACATAGCATAGGGGGCTTCATAGCTTTTGTTTCTCGCACTGGGGTTCATGGGCCTCTGTGTATTCTGGGGATTCCACAAGTTCTAGACTGATGTTTTCACCGGAATCAAAAGTGGCTGAAGCTGCCATTTCTGATTAATTTTCTTTGAAGAGCTAACTCAAATCGAGAAAAATAGCAGTGTTTATTTGTTGAATGAATGCTTACATGTTGAGTCTGCAAATGAGTATATCCATCAAGCAGTCAGTTGGCTTAATGCCCACTGCCTGGTTAACCAGCCAGGCCCCGGAGCCGATCGAGGGGTGTGGGACAAAGCATATAGGATCTCAGGTCAGATAGGACTCAGGATTTCCCTCTGAGCTGACTACGTGCAGTAGGAATTCTAATGAAGGTTTCGCGTCTGCAGAGACCAACCACCTTTTCACAGAGAACCACGAGATGAATTTCCTTTCTGACGAAAGGCAATAATGACTTCTAGTCAGAGGAAGCAGACGAGGGCCACACCCCACCAACATGACCTCAGAGGGGACTATTTCCAGGAACTCTTCACTCAATAAGCTCAAGCCCGTCTCTGTCCTCTGGCCTGCTCCTCATCTCCAGGGTCCCTCCCGGCGCCTCCCCCTTTTCTCTCCTTTCATCTTAAAAGACATAGAAGAGTACAGGGGTTTAGAGTATAAACCCTGGAGCTGGCCTGCCTGGGTTTAAATCCTGGCCATGCTATTCGCCAGCTGTCTGTCCACAGGCAAGTCACTTGGCCTCTCTTCACCTCCAGTTCTCCCATCTGTAAGACCATGAGGATCATAGTAAGAACAGCGGTAGGGTTGTCGTGAGAATCCAGTGAATTAAAACATACGTAAAGCGCTTCAAACAGTGCCTGGCACCTAACAAGGGCATATTAAATGCCACCTCTGCTCATATTCTTATTAGCAGCTCCATTACTATGGTCCTCCCAACCCTGAGTCCTGACTCGAAGTCCTTTACCACCCTGCGCTATGAGGAAATCTTGTCTGAGTTCTGCACTTGTGTGCTTGAAAATATTTCTACATCTTTTTCCTGCCCAATCAGACTTATTTTGTGGTAACAGATTCCCATTTGGCTTACATTTTCCTGCTTCATTAGTTTGTAGATTTTTTTTCTGGCTTCATTCATTTTGTTCTCTGTTGTCTTTTCCACTGGGGGCAGCCATGACAGGTCATTCCTGCCCTTCCCTCATGGTTGTCCTCGTTGGGTTAGTTACCGCTGCTTTCTGCCCATTGCCACGGCTATCGCCCCTCCCTTAATCCTCCCCTTATAAACTATCCCTTCAAGTCTCTTTATAGTCCCTGTTACCGGCTTCAGAACTCCCTCCAGGTTTTCGCTGTTTTTGAGCTAATGGAGTGTAAAATATGTACTCAGGATTCCAGATGTGCCCTCACCCATCACACTCGTTCCAAGAGAGACCAGGACCTCGTGCGTCACCACGCGGCACCCCTGGTGCCCTGGGCTTCAAGTTACTCTGGCTTTTCTTGTTGCCTCATAACACTGAGACTCATTTGTAATCACCCCTGGCCTCTTGCAACATTACGCTTCCTGGCAGCACTCTGCAATTGATTATCTGGGCTTCTAATTATTTTCCTCCAGATGTATTAAATCTCTTTCTCCCTCCCTAAGGTGAATTTTGTTTTCTTGCCCATAGTGCTATTGCATTACGTATAGTATGAAGTTTTTCTTATCCTTTGGCATTGGCAATTCAGTCAATTTACTACTATGGGAGTATAT